TCATACAGACACAGAAGAAGAAAATAATCTACCTAACTTTGTATAAAATTCTCTGACACATTCCCAGAGAAATACCTTCTAAAAACAAAAATAAGTCTTGATGTTTAATTAACGTGTTTGTTGGTGGTAGGAGTATAAGTGTAACCAATCTGAAATGTTCCTTGTAAATTGTTTGATCGAACAAATAGGTGTTGATGGAACAACATTTGTTCCCATCTGTGTAGGATACAATGTGGAATGGGAAGAGAGGAAAAATATGATTTGAACTAGATTTGAATTAGAGTTATCAACATGAATTAGTAGCTTTTAAAATACATATTTCCGGGGCGCAGCGGTTGAGCGCTCGGTTGCGAAGCTGCCCGCGGCCTCTGCGGCGCCGGTTCGATCCCCGGCTGCTCCCCGGCCACCAGAGGAGGGTCCCACATGGCGCGCAGACCTCTCCTGCCGCCCGCTGCTCCCCTCAGCAGTGTACTTCGGTCCTTCTGCCTGCTCTGCTCCCCACTCTGGCTCTGGTGAATTCTCTCACCCTCCCGCGCTTCTGACTATACCCAGTGCATGTATAAACAAAACAAACAAACAAATAAATAAATAAATAAAAACATGCCTCTATAAAAAAAAAAAATTAAAAAAAAATACATATTTCCTAGCTATGTCCACTGATAAAACTATTAGCAATAGTACATTAGTAGCAATGAACACACAAAATAACACCAAGATCTTGATTTTATAGTTATCATTTTCCTCTAAAAGGAGCACCTTAGTTAATGGCTGGCTTCAGCTCTGTGACAGGGGAAACAAAGTGAGTCTGAGAAAATTTTTATGTCAGAGAGTAAGAAGTTCTCAGAAATTGATAGGGGTATGTCAAGAGAACAACAAAGCATGTTTGAAGGAGCTCCTGTTGGCCAAATTTGGGATAATTTGAGCCTCAAAAAAGAAATAATGATGGAAATTTAACATATTGAATAAGAAATTAATCCAGGAATCCAACACTAAATAATTTTCAAAGGTCCAGGGAAGAAGAACTTGAAGGAAAAAATTTTTTACATAAAAAAAAAGCTAACTAATAAACGAAGGAAGAAAGATAAAATTAGAGGGTAACCATTTTGTAACCAACATTTTAGGAATTAACTCAGAATCTTTAATGAATGCTAAAACCACTGGGTTAAACAATGCTAGAGAACAGAATAGTTGTTAGGGCTCAACATATGACTTCACAGATCAGTTATTAGTCATAAAAGGGAAAAGAAAATAAATACTACACAAGAGAAATTTGGTGAACACTACTTTTCCCCAATGATCAAAGAGAATATCACCAGCAGCAGGATAAACTAACATTGTTCATCTCCTGATTATGATTCACTGAAAATGATTCAAAGCCATCTATGTAGTATTTTGTTAAAAATATTTTACTTGAATTGAATCATAAGCAGACAATCAAATTCAAATGAGAAACATTCTACAAACAAATGGCTTGCATTTATCAAAAATATCAGTGTCATACCAGCAATTCTTGATTATAGTAGACTAGAGAGTGATGGCAATTAAAATTTAATGCATTGATTGATTCCTGGAAAGGGGAGAAAGAATTACTGAGATGTTATTGAGACAATATGATAAATTTGAATATGTACAGTATGTGAAAATAAGAGTGATAAATCAACATTTAATTCCTTTAAAGTAAACATTGTGTTAAGGTTATGTTAAGTGGACATCCCAAGACCTAGGAGCTTAATGCTTAATTACTTACAGATGGTATAGTGTTAATAATGGCTAAGTGTAAATAAAAAATATGAGTATGTATTACCTTTTAGTGACTTTTCTAAATTAAAAAAATTGGAGAAAAAGGACACTACAAAAGCCAAACAAATTTCTAGATTAAACCTTTTTTGGTTGATTAGAAAGTCACGAAAATACTAATATTCCTTGGGAATTTAGGGAAGTGAAGTGTTAGTCTATGACATGTTGATTTTCAATATTATTGAGAACCAGGATAAAGTTATAAAAGCAGTGATGATGCAAGCAGTCCTAAGCAGTGACCAGAGAACTTGGAACTAACATTCTCTAAGCTGCAAATCCTATATTCAGAATACAGTTTTGAGATGCTCCTTCTTGTTTTCAGAAGGGAATCCCATTCCTTAGAGATGTTTACATGTTAAGAACCAAATGAGGGCCTCCCCGCTGGTGCAGTGGGTTGAGCACAGCACTGTGAAGCAGTCTGCAGCCTCTGCAGCAATGGTTTAATTTCCAGCTGGCCAGGGAGATTCCCACATGGCCCAGCAGACCTCTCCTGTCTCTCCTGCTGCTCCCCTCAGCAGTATATTTCAGTCCTTCTGCCTGCTGATCCTCTGCTCTGTCTCTGGGGAATCCTCTCACCCTCCTGCGCCTCTGGCCTGTACCTCAGGTCTTGTATAAAAATAAATAAATCTTAAAAAAAAAAAAGAACAAAATGAGGTAACTGAGGATAACATATACTTCTATGGTACCTGGCTCTGGTGGAACTGGTGGGAGAAATAGAGTGGTACAAATATTTCTTCTCATTTTTATAAGTTTTTTTTTTTCCTATCATTAGATTAGTAAGTTGGAGAATTTCTTCTATGTCAAAAATGCTCTTAGTTCTAGAGGACTAAGTAAAATATTATGGCAGGTGCTATAAGCCTAATCCTTAAAGGGAAGTGATAAAGGCATGTGTGCCAGACTATGGATTAGTCCAATGAATATCCCATTAGGGTTGACTTGACCAAATTCTGGGTTATGAGATGCACGTGGACATCTCTTAATGCTATGCTGCTGTTTTATTTTTTCTTGAGAGAATATAATATGATGTCAAGAGCTTCTGTAAACATCTTGTAACCATTAAAGTCAGGCTAACAGAAGCTATCCCTGATTACTGAGTCACTAAACAAACCCTATAGTTAACTAATTCTGGACATCTGCTTTTTAAAAAAAATATTTTACCATTGATTTACAGTAACACATAAGTTTCAGGAGTATAGCCTCATGCTTCCATAACTTTATATGCCAAACCAAAGTTCCAAAAGAAAATTTATTTGTTTAAGCCACTATAATTAGTTCATTTCACTGGGGTAAGATCAAAAATGGCAAAAACCTAACACAGAATGTGTGCAATTTAATTCAGCTTAATATTCACTGTGTCACCTACCTCAGGAATCAGTGTGACCAAATATACTACACAGCCAACAGAGATAAACCATATCTCCTACAGGTATAAAATAAAAATTGCAAGCTAGCAATTAATTGAGCTATGCCAGATGAAAAGAAGCACCAAAGACCATGAGGAGGGAGAAAGAAAATAGGGTGGAATTTAACTTGGACCTGAGTTCCCCATATTAATTACCTGGAGTCACTGAAGGCCAGGTGGTGTGGTGTGAATCAAAGTGATGGTGACCTTTTTTGATAAGGTTGAAAAGAGAATGTTTGCCATAGTCAAATGTTTAGAACAGGAGCTGTCAAGTAATTATTCCAAAATTATGCTGTTTTTAGTTGAGAATTTGATGGAAGTGTGCCTTCTTCAAACTACTTAATAAAATATTTAAAAGTTATTATATGACAACTTGCAAAAAACAATAAATCCTGATGAGGACAGTTGATCCTGAGACCTAGCCAATATTAAAGTTCTTGCCAAAGCAGCCCTGACATTTGGCTTCATCACAAAGGCAATCCCATAGTTGCAGAAGCATCTGCTCTCCTACTTACTGCTTATGTTAAAATGAAAGCTACTCAATGAAATATTTATAAGTATCACTTCCACTGGTGGCTAGATGGAAATAAAATGGCGAGAAACCAAGTTTCTAATAAATATATGAATAGCCACTCAGTGGACCACTCTTTAACATGGACATCATTCACAATTCTTAGTGCTTTTTCAATATGTGCTTTCTTGTCATAAAATTTAAATATTTTAGTTCTGTACTTCTAAATGAGGTCTGTCAGTATAGACAACAGTAATCAATTGGAGTTCTTCCACTTTAAAAATTAGATTGTTAATCATTCATTGGTTAAACCATTAAACATACATATTTTTTGCCAGATAGAGTCATTGGTGATGTGGCTAGATAAGCAAACTTGATCTTCCTAAAGCTTACCTATAGGAGGTAAGAGGAGATTAAATAAAATATAAAAGTAAGATATGCTTATTTCTTTGTAACATGTATAATCAGGCAAGCTGGTTCAGTCTTAGCAAAGACTCACATTTAAAAAAAAATAATTAAAAACAATTTGCTCATGTAATGTAGTATTTGGGTGGGATGTGGTAACATACATCTGGAGAGGTGTGAATCTGTGTTTCTGAAACATCTATGGTGTTGTAAACCAATGCTACCAAATCAAAAACAAAACAAAAACAAAAACAAAAAACCTCAATAAACGGATTTCAATTTTAACGTAAAACAAACTCCTAGAACTCTACTTTCTTTGACTTTCCAGGTCAAAACATGTCATGAGTATTTTCTTTTATTTTGTAAACTTTTTAAAACAAACCTTGCCTTTACCCTGTATATTCAGGTTCTAAATACCTGCTCCCTCCCTTTTTGTCTCAGTTCCTGATGTCATGGGACATCTTACCCACTCTGGCTTCTACCTTTTTGGTTTGATGGATCAAAGGGTAAGGTACTGAACATATTTTGGTCAACATTTTATAGGCCCCTACAAAGAAAAACAAGGCATGAATTTATAATACCTTTCACTCTTTCGCAACCAGTCTCTTTAATTTTCCTTCTTTTGTTGAGTGAGATTCATGTAGGATCATTTTCAGGAATCTTTCCAAATTTGCCTTTGTATTGTCCACCCAAGTTTCACCTAGAAATTATATGAACTTAGAAAATTTTAAATTCTCATGGCAGGGGAACCAGGTAAAGATAGACCAGGTAAAGAACATACCCTCCAAAACAATATTCCTAGAACTTGACAAGTAAATTTTAAGTAAGAATAGTTTGAATCTCCACTATAATATTTTAAAATTTTCATAACAGGCATTCCAATGACAATGTTTTCCAAACTTCCAGAAGGCCTCTTTCAATCGCTTGCTATTTATTTTACTTCTCTGACAGCTGTCAACTCCCCATTACTTCCAAGTATCATCTACTCATCTCCTAATTCAGTAAGTCTCTCCTTTTACTTAGCCTCCATGAACACCTTTAGGACTTCCTCATCCTCCTATACCTTGGCCTTTATTATGTGGATAGCATCAGTTATTTTGCTAATATGATTTCCTACTTTACTCATTACTTGGATTCTTCTCAAAATGTAGATTCTAGCATGACATGAAGAGGCTATCGGGGGAGGCTATAACTTAACAGCATTTCTTTTAATCCTGTAACAGCTGACGAATTATGGTAAGGGTGAGAGAAGAAGTGATAATATTTCTGAATACCTACTGTGTGTCACAGACCATAGTAGCTGATTTTTACAAATTATGTCACTTAGTGGAGTTTGAAATTTAGAAACATTAAATGCAATGATCTCCATATTTATGGACCAAGAATTTTGAGGGAACTGTGCATTTATTTTGTGCCCTAATATCATTGTTTACACAAGGCATGAAGTCAAGGAACAATAAATTTGAAGAAAAGATCTTCAACCTTTTTAAAAAAGATCTTCTTATCAAGACACTGAATGGATGATTACATGACTCTTCTAAGTAGCAGACTTCGGTAAAGGTAAGTCTTTGGTAAAGACAGCGGTGAATGAGATTCTGTTTTCAGTGTGCTTCCATTCGCGACACCCTTTTCTCTCCTACTCAGTAAAGTAAGTAGGATGTGAAAGCTATACATATATATAAAAGTTTCTTTTGTAGGTTAAAAAAAATTAAAATTTACTCTATCATATTATTAGCCGTAACACATTATTTATGTCAAAACTCAAACATACTTTGGTTCAACAAAGGTAAGCAGCAAATGACAAATAACAGACACTTTTAACATGATCTGTGTCATTACAAAGAAACAGTTCATTTTATTCATCCATCTCACAAATATTTGTTAAGCAACTACTAAGTGCTGAGAGCTTTTATTAGTGGACCAGAAGAAAAACTACCTGTCCTATGGAGCAGGTTTCAGATAATAAACAAATAAGAAGATATATAATATAACATTAGGTAGTAAAATTGGGTTAGGGAGAAAAAACTGAGTGTTGGGACGGTGGGTAGAGTGAGGGTTGTTGCAGGTCATTGAGATGTGACTTCTGGTTGGCTCTTGGGCTGTGTGTGGGTAATGCAAGTCCCCTCACCACCTGCCCTGTCCTTGGCCCCTGTATGTTCTTCTACCTGCCATTCCCCACAGTGGGAGCTATTTTTAAGGATGGAGGCGAGAGAGCATATTGTGTTATTGAGACCAGCTGGAATGCAGTTAAGACCATTATATAAGCTCTCAAGATTCTGCGGGGGGACTGGGTGGGAAAGAGATCTGTTCTTTTTGCAGTGGCTCAAGATAAACTCCTATGAAACTTCCCTAGCTTATTAACCCCTCCCCCCACCACCACTACCACCAATCTGGAGTGGTCTGAATCTTTTTCCCATCAATCCTGGCCCTCACTATGTAGATCCAGTTTACAAACCACAGGGGTGTTGCCTTTTTAGAGAACATTTTCAAGGAGAACTTTCCTGATGACGTGATAGTTGAGCATACCCTATGAAGAGGAGTAAGCCATGCAGAAAGAACATTTCAGGGAGGAGTCCTACAGGAAAGGCCGTAAGACAAGCGCATGAGTGTGAGCAAATAAGATCAGGGAGGAAAGGAGGGACCATGTCAGGTAAAGGGCTTTGATCTTATGCTAAAGTGATGGAAAGTCATTACAGTGCTTTCAGCAAGGGTGTAACATGATCAGATTAATGTTTTAAAAGGATCACTCTAGCTACTGTGCAGAAAATAGCTATTGAAGGCAGGAGTATAGGAGTTCAGAAAGCTATTGCAATAATTCATAAGGGAGATGTGACCAAGAAGCTTTGAAAATGACTTTTTTTTTTTTTTTTTTTTTGTGGGACCCTCGCTGGTGGCTGGGGATTGAACTGGTGCTGCAGAGGCTGCGGGCAGTCTCGCAACCCAGCTCTCAACCACTGTGCCACCAGGGGAGGCCCTGAAAATGACTTTTTAAAAGAACATTCTAGACTGTAGCTGTAAAAAAATAAGAACACCCTGTTCTTGAGGAGGGGTCTATTGGAGTTAGATATAGGCCAGACCATAAACTGGTTCTTGATATTTTTGAGAGTAACTGACAAGTATAGAATGGTCTTCTAGGATTGAAGGCAGTGATATGGCTAGACTGTACCTTAATATAACTGTAATGAACACATATTTAGGGATGTGTAACTTTACTGGAATAAGTATATATTCATCATAGGAGGTTGGTAGGGATAATAGAGAGGAAGGTTAAATAAATGGAAGTTAAGCCCATACCAATTTTGCTTGTTTCAAATACTTGCTTCTGGAAACCCTCTGTCACCTTGTCTGTTTTGGATGTGTCCTTGATTTGTAGTCTACGCTTTCACCTTTTATCTTTGGTATTACTGTAGTTCCTTAAAATGCATCAGAGGTCAACACACTTATGATTAGTGTTACGCACTATATGACCTTTCTCTGAAATGAGAAATATATAGATATAGACATAAATATATAGATGATATGCTGGCAGGGTGAGAAATAAAAGTCTTTGCCCAACCATTGCAAAGAGCAGCCACACATTCTGTAGGAAATGCTGTTGGTTCAGGCCCCATGTGATTCTTAGCATCTCAGAAGTTTAAGAACTTCTACAGAAGAATGTTCCCAGATGTAATAACTATTTTAAATCACATTATTTCATATGCAAGAAGTGTTGATCCCTGCTTGCCATCGAGGTCATCAGAGCTTTAATATTTAATGAAGTGAGATAAAGTGTCAGATGTACTGGCAATCTGGTTTTATGTCTTGAATTCAGAACCATCTTCCTGGGTGATCATGCACAAACACAAATAACCTGACGTGCTAAGCCTCAATTTTCTCATCTAAACATAATGTAGATCAAGTATCTGAAAAGTCCTTTCCCATTCTAGCTTTCTGTGTTTGGAGGAACATAATCTTGTGGTCAACTTAAATCAGAAATATTGATGTCTCTCTCTCTCTCTTTTTTTTTTTTACCTCTGTGGCTTTCTACCATCTTTTTTTTTTTTTTTTTTTACTCCAATAGCCATTTTCTCTAGCCTATACCATTTTCTCAGCCTATACCAAACTTGAAACAAAGAGCTACAAACAGCTTAGTAATTTCCAGGCTGGACTTTCCTCTCCAAGAAACCTGGTAAGACTAAGTGTTATGATCTGAAAGTTTGTGTGCCCCCATTCATTTATTGGCACCCTAATTCACAGTGTGATAGTATTAGAAGAATGGGTTTTTGAGAGATGATTATGTCATGAATTTGGAGTTTCATGAATGAGATTAATGCCCTTATAAAAGAGACCCAGAGTTCATTTTCTGTCTTCATGTGTAAAGATAGGAGGAGAAGTCCAAAATATGCAACTCAGAACAGGGTCCTCACTGTCCATGCTGGGTCCCAATCTTGGGCATCCAGTCTTCAGAACTGTGAGAAAAAAAATCTGTGTTTTTAATGAGCTACGCAGTGTTTAGAATTTTGTTATGGCAACCCAAAATGACTAATACACTGAGTTTGGGTAAAGGGAAAGAGGAAAAAAGAGTGGCAAATTGTATGGGAGAAGGACTGATGGGAAGAATAAAGCAAACTCAGTTTAGGGTATGTGCGCTTAGAGGGAAAAGAACAATTTCTGGGATCCCAATTATTTGTGATGATCAGTCTCTGGTGCTATGAATAGAATCTTGTAAGGTGTCAGTGAAGATTGGGGTGACTTAAATGTATTGCTCCTGGACGCAATTCTTTCTTTTGGGTATTTGTTTTTCTTCTAAGTTGAATTAAGGGTAAGTCAAATTATCAGTAATGTAAAATATTGTTCCAGGAACATATTCAGAGGCTCAAAGGAGAGAGAAAACATATACCAAGATGGCATAAATGTGACACATGGGTCTGTGGGGTAATCTTTTTCATTCTTTTTATTTCTCAGCACTGTCCAGTTTTTTTATTTTTGCTAAATTTCTAAGTCTTTTAAAAAGTAAACTAAAATTTCTACCATAAAGTCATTGATATTCTCACTCCTCACTTTCTCATCCTCCTCTCATATAATGAGAATAATTGGAATATTTCTATAACAATAGAGCTTTTACATTTAGAGGAGGTCAGGAACCTACTGTGAGAGTACAGTATCTCTTGAAGACTTAGCCTTGAGCTTAATGATGTTCATGTTGAATTTTCTTGCCTCCAATGTGAAGGAATATATTCTGTAATTATTTTATTTAGTGGGTCCTCCTAGATGAATACACACATACACACACACACAAACACATTTCACAAAACTCCTTTCTGTAATAGGAGAGCATTACATCCTATGTGGATGCATTTATCTGTAAAATGACTTCCTTTTCACACCAGCGTATGTCAAAAAGTCTGCCCTAGTAATTAGCAATTTCCAGTTGCAGAAACTAATTATTATTGGATGGCTTTCTGTAATTCCTTGCATTGCTTTCTTGTTTTATGTCCATAAACCTCTATAAGGTATAATCTAAAATCAGGAATATTGTTTCCATAGCAGCATGACTCCTATGCACTCATATCCAAAATTGCAGCCACTTCTGACATCTTAAGCTTGATGCCTTCAGATGAGAACAGATGGCTAAGTAGTCTACTTCAACTATCACAATGAGCTGGTCAAATAATTTTTTCCCTTTAAAACTATCCTTGAATTCCAAATCTGCTAGGCATTTTTGATTAAGTGGGAGTGAGATGTGTTTAAATAACTGGTTCTTACACAACTATACAATACCTTTCTGACCCTATCTTTGCCACAGATATAAACACTAGAAAATGAGTGAAATTGAAAGTGATGTGGCATTAACAAACTCTAAAGCAGTCTCTATCTAGTGTCATCACTTTTTTTTAAAGATTTATTTATTTATACAAGAACTGGGGTACAGGCCAGATTTGCAGGAGGGTTAAAGGATTCACCAGAGACAGAGCGGGGAGCAGAACAGGCAGACTGATGAAATACACTGCTGAGAGGAGCAGTGGGAGAGACAGGAGAGGTCTGCCACGCCATGTGGGACCCTCGCTGGCTGGCCGGGATTGAACCGGCTCTGCAGAGGCTGCGGACAGCCTCACAGTGCTGTGTTCAACCATCTGTGCCACCAGGGGAGGCCCTAGTGTCATCACTTCTAATGCTGCTGTGACCTCTGTAAGAGCAAGACTTTAACTAGTTATTCCTAATACATATAATTTTTTTTAAAATGCTAACCTTCAAGTCGATAAGCTACCTTCAAGTCAAATTACTGCCTGCTCTGGACTTTAGTAATATAATTTCCTCTCAATAATGTCTTTTGGAAGGACATTCCTTCCGAGAATGTTGGGGTAGAATGGATGCCAAAATTTGGATAACTAATGCCACTTAACTATCACTTAGGTCTATTTCTTTTTTGGTGGAGGGGCATCTAATTCATGTTTTTTCACTATTGTGACAAACTCCTTCTTTTCAGCTGAGATCCCCTCAAAGAGTCCTGGCCTGAGTGTTAACAGTGTGGAAGAGGACAGCCATAAATGGTGATCGTCATGTTCTGTAATGTCAATTTGGCCCATTGTATATATAAATGGGTCACTGAAAGGAAGCTTTAACCTAGCAAAAAGCTACAGGTTTTCTGACAAGGAAAACTTTTTCCCATTTTAAAATAACTTTTCCTCAGTTGGACATGTAGTCTTTTTCTGTTCCTCTTCAGCATTTACTGGAATTTATTGGAGTTGACTCTTATTCAAACATATGTCACCCTAAAACTGATTCCTATCAACAAGACAAAGCATCAAGCTCTCTGAGTTGGAAGGAAGATTTATACAGAGGTTGGTTACAGCTCCCAAAATCTTAGTTGGCAAAAACAGTTGCTGGTGATTTTCCAAAAAAAATAAGTATAGGTCTAGTTTAAATTTAGGTTAATTTTTAATAGCTGGGGAATAGTTTTTAACATGTTAATGCTATTTTAGATCCTTCACTGTATGTTAGTTTAATAGCATTTCAGTAATGATGATCTCATATCCAGCTTACAAATCTGCAAATGGAGTAAGAGGATGGCTCAGCAATATGATATAGGCAAGTAAAAAGTAAAGTAGGATTGAACAGATATTGTTCTTTCTTGTTTCTTCAGTTGACACACATACCATTTTTAAATTGACTGTCCTAGAAAAAGGGAACTCAAAGCCAATGATAGAAAGCAAAATGACTAAAAATTGGACCCTTGAACAGGCAATTTGGCTTATTTAGGCTCTTAACAATAATTATATATTACCTTTTCCTTTCTAAAGAACTCATTCCCAGCCTGTGCTCCTAAACTCACTAAGAGCTCATGAAGTTAGTAATTGTGAATTATACCAACATTTAAAAATAATAAGAACAATATTGTAGTTCTTATTATTTTACTGCATGGTAAACTATAACTGTATCTGATTAGTAAAAGAAATAGGTTACTCACTAACTAATAAATATTTACAGTTTGATTTGGCAGAGAAGCTTTGCAAGCCATGACAGTGAGTGATGATAAGAGTTATCTTAGAGCTATAGAAATCAGTAGAATATTTTATAGTTGAATATTATTTTAATTTTCACTCCTCATGTTATAGACCAGGGAACTGAAACTGCTACCTGTATTTAACCCTCCTCTCAAGTTTCATATACTATAGATCTCTCTTTTGTAGTTACTTTATTCCATAAATACTTTATTGAAGTCAAAATTTGTTCATGGATATCACAATGATAAACCCCTACAAAATGCTTAAGTTTTGTTCATCATGGTCCAGATGGCAATAAATAATAACCTACTTGAAAAGCTAAACATAATTTAAAGGGGGGAGGGAGTATGACTTGTCCACCTCTTTATCTTACAACAGCTTCAATGATACTAAATAAAAATGTGAGATCCTACTGAGATATCAAATTTTTTTTAAAGATTTTATTTATTTATACAAGAGCTGGGGTACAGACCAGAGGCGGGGAAGGGTGAGCGGACTCACCAGAGACAGAGTGGGGAGCAGAACAGGCAGACGGACAGAAAGCACTGCTGAGGGGAGAAGCGGGCAAGACAAGAGAGGTCTGCCGCACCATGTGGCTTGCTCCCTTGCCCTCTGGGGATCGAACCTGCACTGCAGAGGCTACAGACAGCTTCACAGTGCTGCACTCAACCCCCTGTGCCACCGGGAAAGCCCAGATATCAATTTTTTTTTAAGATTTATTTATTTATTTATGCATTGAAGAACTGGGGTGTAGGCCAGATGTGCAGTGTGGGGGATGAGGATTCACCAGAGACAGAGTGTAGAGCAGAACAGGTGGATTTTCTGAAATACACTGCTAAGGGGAATAGCAAGTGAGACAGGAGAGATCTCCTGCACCATGTGGGTCAGCTCCCTGGCTGGGGATCAAACTCAGGCCATAGTGATGATAGCACTGAGACTAACCCCTGCTCCACCAGGGAGGCCCAGATATCAAAAATTTTAAAAGTGCAAAGAACATTTTATAAAAAAAATGATAGTGTAAGGCAACATATGATTGAGACAAACACTCATGCAGATAATATAAATTGCACAAAGGAGGAATGACCATAAGTATAGTTGATATTAAAAAAAAGCAGTTATGGACATAGGCTGGTTACTGCCCAGTTGATCTATGGTGAACAGAAAAGAATGGAAAAAGATGTTTGAGGCAGGATAAGGACTCTGTCACATGAGGTGTCCTCCTATAAGCTGTTACTTTTCAATATGTTGTATCATATCCTATTTTTGCCATTTTTTTAACTTTTTGTAAAAAAGATGAAAGAAAAAAAGTAAATTGGAAAGAAATAATTTAGTGTATGAGGAATGAAAAATGTAAAGCAGATCACGAAGGATTACATCTTATTTTCATAACATCTACGCTTGCTCTGCCAAAGAAGAACAAAGGAAGAACTGGAACATTTTGTCTTACATAGGTTAATATGAACTTGGGTTCAGGTCTTTAGACATTATACTCCATGACACACTGAAACAGCAAAGAGAGAGAGAACATGAGCCAGAGAGAGCTGTTAAACAAGGGGTAGCTAAGAAAAGGAGGGTGGGGTAGAGGAGATAAAAGAAATATAGTGAAATGGGTCAGAAAAATAACGTGAACCTAAAGAAAACTTTAGAAGAAGAAAAAGTCCATTATGCAATGATCAGAAGCCAAAATTGGCATAGACTCTGCCAGTTGCCTGGTAGCAGGCGAATATGGAATCTGAATCCTGTTTGCTTAGTCTATCAGCCTGGCCAGGTGTGACAACATTCATCAAGCTCTTGATAGACTACGGCACCCATCCATGAGAATTCTCATTTTTGGACATTCTGCAGCCCTTGACCTTGAAAGCACTTCAGGATTGATAAGTCATTCTAACTTGATAAATGATGATTTTTCAAAGAGAAATGCAATTCTCCAATTCCACTACCAATACACACACACACACACCCCCCACACAAAAGTGTACAGATATGTATATGGAAAGCTCCGGGTGTGTGACATAATTATTCCCCCCAGCAAGTCACTGATAACAGTGGTGCACTTGATGCAGATACCAAAGCCTGTTCCTGCCCTGCTCAAAATGCTCCCAGAGAAATCTTGGCTGTCTGACAGCAAGGTGTTCAAGGGAGTCCTTGCCAAGGAGTAAGAACACAAATGTTTGTGACGAATCATGCCTGGGGTTATAGCTGTGTTCTATGCAGAATTACAGTGTCCTGAGCAGAGCAGAAGTAAAAGGAATACTGAAATGTCCTGAGATTTTATTTATATATAACTTTTTTTTTTTAGTTTCAATAAGCATGAGAATATTTTCTCACACCCTTTACTACATTAGTGTTACTGATTTATTGTATTCTTGTTCCTCTTACTAAATTATAAACCCCTCTGAGGACAGTGGTCATATGCCATCTATCTCTATTTCTTGTGTACCTACCACAATTCTTTATATCTATTTTCCTATCTTTCTGTGATATATGATTGATGACTGCTTGTATCTTGATTTATCCATAAGCTTCCTTCAATCCTGAGACAATAAAAGTAAATGAATATGTATGACACTTGAGGTTAATAAGAATTAATTATTTCCCCAACCAATAATAAGCTGAGGTATATTTAAAGATGGGTAAATATAAGCACCTGTTTGTTAACAAAATATCAAATTTAGGAATATTCCTAAGGTCTGTGCATGGATTCTCTTTTTGTTATTAACATTCTTTGCTCTGAATTATCAAGGTTCTGTATGTATTTTGAGATTATAGGTATATAGTGATGACTATCTCTAGATTTATTTGTTACAGGAAAAGATCTCTCACCCAACTATTTGTACCCAATTCATCAATTATCCATCACTCTGTTCCCTCTGTTCTGAGGCCCACTGATTAGTAGATCTTCTTAGCACTCCATGCTCTTCATCTCCCACCAGTTAAATTATATGTTTATCAAGCATTAAATATTTTTCAAACATATTTACATGACTTTATTAGATATCAGCAGTATATGGTTTAACTAATTACTATTAAAAACAAAAATAATGGGATCATCAGGGAAAAGTTGGTATTTTCATGAAAACTGTGTTGAATACTTAAAATATATTTGTTAAAGTTAAGCTAAAAACGCTGTTGAATCGGGTAATTAGGTGGTGAGTGAGGGGTGAAACACCTATAAAGGATGCAGGGATAATTGTAAAATGAAGAAATTCCATAGTCAGATTTTTCACAGGCATCATAAGTTTTGTGTAAGAAAGATTATAGGCCTATTCAAAGAAAAGACTGTGGCTTACACTAAAATTGTGGCAAATAAATATATATTTGCAATTTTTAAGTTAAAGTGTTAAAAGTATGTGTGCATTTTTTGGAAAAAGTAGTCTCTTTAACAGACTTACAAAAATTGACTTATGCTAGTATGACTACAAAAATTCTTATTGGCCCTTGAATTTCTTTCAGTTTCCAACAGTACTTATTTCTTACTCATATAGTTCAGGAGAGTGTCTCAAAATCTCAACTTGAATCCATGTATTCATTCTATGATGGTGACATGCCGAAAACAATACTTAGCGATGCAGTGGCTATATTCAGTGGCTTGGACTTTGCTCTCTGTGAACTTAAATAGGTTAAGTGTGCTTATATATCCATACAATTATGGTTAACTACTTTTTGTATACTTTGTCAAAACACAATAGGGTTTACTTCCACAAACATAGATGAAAAACTCAGTTCTTTATTCAACAAGTATTTTTAGAAGAACATCTTAGACTAAGAACTATTCTCAGAGCAGGGGAATAAGACAGACAAACCCTTGCCTCAAGGCTATAGCTGAGAAGATGCTTTTTTAATATAGGGTAGGATTCTCAATGGTAAACAAAGGGTATGAAGAAAATAATGAGTTAAGTAAATGGTTTGAATAAAATCAGCATTTGTGAATAATTTGGGTGGAGGATGAGGTATCTGTGGAAGTGTAGTGAGAGAGAAGGATGGAAAGATGTGCAATTTCCTCTTTTCCTGCAAGGACATTTCTTTGAAAACTACCACTGCCTGTGCCTTTCTGAGT